ATGAGTCATGACTCATCAAAAAGCAAACAAGCAAAACCTGTTCACAACGATATGAAAGAGGCGAAAACCTTTTTAGAATATTTTTCATTGTATGAAAAAGGTTTATTAAATGAATAGTTACAATTATTATCAACATTTTAGTGAATAGGGCTTTGTACGGTAATAATAGTTGGATTATTTATTTCAGCCATGTTTCCATGATGTGGTGCCTCTACGACTTTGCCGATTATCCAGGCAGGAAAGCCGTCCATCTTCTCAATTTCTTGTTGGTAGAGCTAGAAATAAAATTAATGGTGACACGATCACTGTTTTTAACTACCTTGGCGTCCTCCAATGTCATGGCCACTAAAAGACCTCCACTTGTTTCCGCTGACAAACCTGTGAACAAATTGAAACCATTCCCGTCTTTCATCTTCAGAGCAATCTCATCCATATATTCGATGATCGGTAAATATTCAATCACAAATTTAACGGAAGCTTTCTGAGATTTAGCCAAATTGTCGGCATGACCTGTAATTCATCAATGAAAAATCACTGTGACGTATATTTCATACCCAAAATGCCGAATCCGGTAACATCAGTAGATGCATGGGCTTTGTATTTATGAAGCAATTTACAAGCATTCCTATTTCATAAAAATTTCCTTCCATCTCATTAATTACCTGTTCAATCGACTCATCTGCTCAACAGCCTGTTGGAACGCTCGCACAATTTTTTCTTCGTTCAAAGAAAACTCTTCAACACGTCCGTTTTTTTTCCTCAGCCATTCATATGAGTTCACTGCGACCTGAGAGGAACAGTTCAATCTACATCTCAGTTACTACCTGTCCTCCCAAAGGCTTAGTCAAAACTAAAACATCTCCTGCTTTAGCCTGGTCAACTTGAATTATCTCAGAATCCGTAGATACACTGCTGGCAACCCCACCAAGCAAAAGCCATGGGCATCTGACAGTTTGCCCACCACGAACTTTGGTCTCAGCTAGTTCTGCATTATCCTGGTAGTTGAGAAAACAAATACCGGAAAACTTCATCATTATAAAAAACCTTGAATCCTTGAATGAATTGTGAGACCACAATATCACGATGCTCCTCCGATAAGTCCGTTGAGACACCAAGTAACATGAGCATGTTGTCGCAATTATAAACTCCCATCGCATATAAATCACTCAGAACATTGGCACAGGTAATTCTACCCTAAATGAACAGAATGAAATACCAATATCCTTCAATTACGCTGATGGCGACTTTCGTTCTATGCGAGAGCATGAGCAGAACAACACACAAAAGTATGATAGAAATAGTTGACACACCATTAGGTACGGATCATCAACTAGGGGATAGAAGAAATCTGTTGTTTGAACAAGATTTAGCCCTTTATGACGCAGAGGAATCACGCAACTATCGAAACCGATACCTGGAAAACGAACCACCATCTCATAAACAGTTCGTTTTAGGACATACCGAATCCTTTGTCATCCACGTCATGTAAGTTGCCGAAATACTTCAACAGCTCGAGTAAAGCCCGGAAACACGAAGTTATTCTAGTAGATTAGTTAAAACATACTGCTCTCGGTACTTTACATCCACATCCCTTCAAACGTGTGAGATTAGTTAGAATAAAGTCTTCAGGTAGGCCATGGGACACAGGCGAGAAACCATTCAAAATTCTTGAAATTCTTGAATCCTGAGACATAACTTGTTCAAGCTTTCTATGGATTGATAACTAGCTTGTACAAGCTGCAATCCACCTATGAGCCAGTGAAGTCGAATTGAACGTATTCCATAGACGGAAAAATATTCAAACGACATTGACCCCGCCCAGAAAACCATGCGCGTCTCGCTACGTAATGTGTTCTCACCATACTGGTATAGCTCCAATTACTTTCATTATTTTGTATGACATTATGCTTTCATTGTGATTTAATATTTACTTAAATTACCACGTCATAACGTATTTTGAAAGAGAGTCATTCACGGCATACATTGGATAAGCTTTTCCTATCGTTATTTCATTGACGAATTTCATTTTCCTGAATAGATCACTGCTATGCCAGTTCTACTGCTTGAGTGAATTTATTATTCAAAATGTTTTTGTCACTGATTAGCCGATGTTCTAAGACAATCCAAACCGTTCACAAACCAATTGTTTACACCCATCGAAGTGGGAGAAGGGTGCGTCTTTTTATTTTTTCAACTGATGCTCCTCTCCCACTTGTTTATATTTTCTACTTTTTTCTATTTCAGATCAAAGAAAAGGCTGCAATCATGGAAGAAAAGAAGAAGCAGCATGGGGGAAAAAGTGGATCTTCCAAATTCGTTCTGAAGAACGCCAAAGGAACTCGTGATTATGGTCCAAAATCTATGGCTGTTAGAGAATCCGTCTTGAACATTGTGAAGGATTCATTCAAACGCCATGGTGCCGAAACCATTGATACTCCAGTCTTCGAGCTTCGTGATGTTGGTTCCATACTCCATATTTTATTCTTTTGTTTTGTTCTCCAGGTTCTTCTAGGGAAATATGGAGAGGAAGGGGGAAAGCTAGTCTACGATCTACAGGATCAGGGTGGGGAGCTTCTTTGCCTCCGATATGACTTGACTGTAATTTAACTAATCTAAAAGCTTTTTAAAGATATTCCTCCAGGTTCCATTCGCTCGGTATGTTGCCATGAATAAGATCACTAATATTAAGAGATATCAAATCGCTAAAGTGTATCGTAGGGACCAGCCTGTGATGACTCGTGGTCGTTATCGCGAGTTCTATCAATGTGTAAGGAATGTTTCTTGCTTGGAAGTTATCTTTTACTTTCTAGGATTTTGACATCGCAGGACAATATGACGCTATGCTCCCTGAAGCTGAATGTCTTAAGATCTTAGATGAAGTCTTGAGTAAGCTGGAAGTTGGACAGTTTGTGGTCAAGGTAGTTCAGATTTATTAGTTTTGAGTATTACGTAATTTCAAGCTCAACCATCGAGCCGTTCTCGATGGAATGTTTGCAGTTTGTGGAGCTGACGCATCCCAATTCAAAACCGTTTGCTCCTCGATTGATAAACTGGATAAGCAACCCTGGAATGAGGTATGTGTTCTCCAAATATTTTTAATTCAACAAAACTATACAGGTCGAAGATGAACTTATCAAAGAAAAAGGTCTTAGCAAAGAATGCACTGAGAAACTTGGACAATACGTTTGCTTCAGAGGTATTAATTGTATATGTTATGTATATTTCTCATCTCCTTCAGAACTTCACCCCGACCTGGGCAACGTTGAGCTTCTCGACAAAATGCTTGAGATTGAGGAGCTTAAGAATAATGAACGATTCGCAACTGGAGTTGCTGAGTTGAAACTTCTTTTGGAGTACTGCTTGTTATTTGGAATCGAATCAGTCAAGTTCGATCCTTCTTTAGCTAGAGGATTAGATTATTACACTGGTGCTATCTATGAAGCTGTGATTCCTAGTAGATTCAACATATGAGTAGTTATCTTTATTTTATCTTTAAGATGCCCTAGAAGGATTGAAAGTTGAAACCGAAGACGGCCAGAACTTACCAGTTGGCGTTGGATCTGTTGCAGCTGGTGGACGGTGAGGCGAATCAAGACGAAACCCACACTGATGTTCATTTGCTTCAGTTATGACGGTCTTGTAGCTATGTTTTCCGCGAAGTCTAAAGTTCCTTGTTGCGGTGTTTCTTTAGGTATTGAGAGATTATTCGCTATCATGGAGGCCAAGATGAAGGTAATATAAATGAATTACTTATTGTTTAGTTTTGACATTTCAGATGGAAGAGAGACCTGTTAGAACTACGGAAACAGAAGTCTTTGTTGCTTCTGCTCAAAAAAATTTGTTGAAGGAACGTATGAAGTTGTGTAAAACTTTATGGGAAAATGGATTTAAGGTAGCCTGTTTTCTCAGCCGTATTATCGTAACTAGTGTTTTAGGCTGAGATGATCTACAAAGCAAATCCCAAATTACTTACACAAATACAATATGCAGAAGACAAACTTATTCCTCTAATGTTGGTCATAGGGGAACAAGAAATTCAGAATGGAGTGGTAAAGGTTCGAAATACTCAAACTCGTGAAGAAAAGGTTTTGAATGTGATAAGTTGAGTCATTGACGTCTTATTTATAGGAAGTTCCATTGAATAGTCTGACCAGTGCTCTACGGGAAGAGCTTAAGATTGCGTCTCAGTAGTTGATTTTCAATTATGCATCTTGTTGATTTTCACATCGTTTTTTTTATTAAATTTTATTATTTTTTTCAACCATCTTTCCTGTGTTCCTTCGGTATACTCACCGTTTGATATCCGCCTATGTTGTTGATGTACACCATTTATAGTTTTACAGGCCAAGATGTCTATGTCCAAATCCTCATATTCCCAGTACAACCGGGTGAACTGGGAGGATGCTGACTTTCCGATCCTTTGTGAAACTTGTCTCGGAAACAATCCATACCTCAGAATGGTAAAAAAAAATTTTTTAGCTACTGTTCTTAATGAAATAAGTTTTATAGATGAAAGACAAGTTTGGTAAAGAATGTAAGATCTGTGAACGTCCTTTCACCAACTTCCGTTGGCAGCCCGGAAAGGGAGCTCGTTACAAGAACACAGAGCTCTGTCAAACTTGCGCTAAAGTAAAAAACGTGTGTCAGACTTGCATGTTTGATCTTGAATTTGGTCTTCCTGTACAAGTTCGAGATGAAGCTTTGAAGATAGCTGATACAATTCCTAAAGAAGGCGCTAATAGAGATTTCTTCTTGCAGAATGTAGAAAGGTAGCTCATGCCGGAAGATTTTCTCAAAATTTTCAATTTGTTCAGATCACTAGCCCAAACTGATGGAACAACACCTTTCGGAGCTCTTGCAGAACCAGGAAGCGCACAGGGAACAGAACTTTTGAGGAAAATTGCTCGTACAACTCCTTATTACAAACGAAACGCACCACATATTTGTTCATTCTTCGTTAAAGGAGAATGCAGACGTGGAGAAGAATGTCCCTATAGGCAAGAGTTCAAAAATTTCGAAAGAATTAATGAATATTATGTTGCAGACATGAAAAACCATCTGATCCTGATGATCCACTTTCACATCAGAACATGAAAGACAGATACTATGGTACTAACGACCCTGTTGCGGAGAAAATCATGAACAGAGCCAGAGTAAGAGCTGATCGGCTTTTCACTAAAACATTTCTTTGCCTTCTAGGCGATGCCAACTCTTGAACCCCCAGCGGATAATACTGTAACTACTCTGTACATTGGTAACTTGGGACCAGCTGGTCAGATTACAGAAAAAGATCTCACGTAATATAAATTGACAAAGCTATTATGTTCAGCTCTTATTTTGCAGAGACTACTTCTATCAGTTTGGGGACATCAGAAGCGTTCGCATGTTGGAAGAGAAGAGTTGCGTTTTCATCACTTTCACAACAAGAGAAGCTGCTGAAATGGCTGCTGACCGATCATTTAAGAAGCTCACAATCAAGGTATGAATCGAACATCCCGAAGCTTGTTCATTTGTTAATTATAGGGCCGATTATTGAAAATTCGCTGGGGAGCTCCTCCAGCGGAGCGTACTGTCGTGGAGAGTGAAACAAGGCCAATTAATCCCGTGCCTTCACTTCCCAATGGTAATTTCCCTTGTACTCTACAAGAAAATAGAATTCAAAATATTTCAGTTTGTCCCATTCCTGATGATCTGGCACCTATGATTAAAAAGAGCAAGTTCGACGCACCTGCGCCACCTTTACCCCCTCCCATTGCTAACTATGCTGCTCCTTCGTCGCTTGTTGTTCCGAGTTATGCTCCTCCATCTGTATCCACTGCCTCTAACAAAGGTGGTCCAGGGGTTTATTATCCAAGTCAAGATCCTACACGGCTTGGATCAAAAGGAGATGTCATAGAATGATGACACTAATACGTATTCTCATAATGTAGTTAATCACAAGAAAGATTGTTCTCATGTTTTGTTGAAACTCAATGCGTTGTTGTGTTGGAATATGCACTTTCTTATTAATGTTATTATCAAACTCAGTAAATCGCATCAGTATGTTTGATTTGTTGTTACCATCCGGTTCATAACCTGTTATCTTTTCCCTTCCTTGATCAAATCGACCATCGGTTCAGACGGACAATTATGAGTCTATCCGTTCTGGTCACAGGCGCTAACCGAGGTATCGGCCTCGGGATCGTTCAGCAGTTTCTGAAGAATCCCAGTATTGCAACTATTTTTGCGACTGCTCGTAATCCAGAAAAAGCAACTGTGAGCACTTTCAAAAGCTTCAAATTTTTACTTTTAAATTTAGGAGTTGAAGAGTATTAATGATCCACGTCTTCATCTAATCGCATTGGATGTTGATAATGACACATCCATAACGCAAGCGTTCGATAAAGTCTCAAAAACTTTGTAAAAGCTTTCAATGATCCATTGTAGGTGAATAGTGTTCTTGGCGAGAAGGGTTTGAATGTTCTTGTCAACAACGCCGGATTATGGGAGAACTATTATCCTAACAAACCAGCTAATCGAGAGTCGTTTATGCGATCCCTCAATGTCAACTGTGTCAGTCCTCTTGTTATGATACAGGTTCGAATAGTTGAGAAACTGGTACTATCATGAATGAGCAGACTTTTCTTCCATTATTGGAGAAAACAACCAATCCTAAAGTGGCCAACCTTTCTAGCACTCTTGGATCATTGGAAAGAACAACGGAAGGAAGTGGTGAAAGAGGCTCTATAGCTTACAAGACCAGTAAAGTGATAGATCCATCCTAATCCTTCACTTCATTCTAATTTTACAGGCTGCTCTCAACATGGTTGGTAGAGTTCTAGCACACGATTTTGCTGATAAAAATATCGTCGTTGCCCAGTTTTGCCCAGGATGGGTGAGAACTGATATGGGCGGCCAGGAGGCCCAATTGAGTGTATGAGCCTCCACTTGCACGAGCCAAATACCTTTTTTTAAGGTTGACGAATCTACTCAAGAACTGGCTAACTCTATTCTGACTCTCGAGAAAAGACATTCTGGAGGCTTTTTCATGAGAAACCTGAAGCCAATTCCTTTTTAATGCTCTGTGATAATCAGTAGTTGTAGTAAGATAAACAAAAAGATAAAATGAATTTTATTCAAAATTTCATAATTTACATGATTACCCGTTAGAAACCCTATAGCTACGGGAGTTCTGTGTATAAATACAATTCATAATTGGGCAACAACAAGAAAGAACAATCAAACAAGATGTAAAACTGAATTCGCTGACATTATGGTTAAGTTGAGCGTTTAAATTAGTAATATTTACATTGGCTTGAAATAGTGTTAATATCACAACCGATCATAGATTGAAATTATGTTGACTCCAATTTGGAGTAACGCATCCCGTTACGATAATCATTAGTAGCACCAGAATTATCAGAAGGTGAAGCTTGTAAATCTTGATTTTGCCATTCCGGTCTACCAAGCCCTCGGATTTCAACTTCATTACCTGACACTAAAACGGAAAGAGAATATAAGAATCTTTTGTTACACTCACCATAAGCAGGATTTTCAAATGCAACCGTTGGGTGCTCGTGAGGGACAGCAGGTCTACCAATCAGTTTACCGATTGGTGCTGGAAGTTCACGTCGTCTCCCAAGAATTATGATAGCTAAAGAATTATATCATTTCCATTTCCAATTACTAAATTCTTACCAATCACAGCAAAAGTACAAATTAGAAGAAGGATCACTATGAAGTTGAATGAAGAATTTGAGTCAGACTTCTTCGCTTCTTAAAAGAGGCACAATAGGAAAAACAATTTTCGAGACATACCTGGCTGAGTTGCAATAACATCCATGAATACTAAAGGACTGTGCCCGAAAGCATTGGCCGCTATTACTCCAATATCGTAAGTAACTTCTTCTTCAACATCCAAAACAACATTTTTGTTCAAAGTTTTGAAAATCTTGAAAAAAAACCATAGACTACAAAAAGGAAACTGATCCAACCTGATAGTCTTGATTTTCGTCCTCGGCTCTTCTAGTATAGACAGCGTAGTACTGGAAGTCGTTATTTGGAGGTGATGATTCCCATGAAACCTGAACAATCAACTGTCATTGATCTCAACTCAATTGGAAAACCTTGATTTTTTTGGCCGAAACTACTTCATATGCTAATGAAGTAACAGGCTCAGGACTACTCTCATGACCTCGCACAAAGCATGCCATTATATCGACAGCGTAGTTGGAGCAGTCGAAGTTAGATATTGAAGAATCGCCTGAAATATGAGAAAATTTCACAAAATTATGCTTGAAGTGAACCGTACCTGAGCATAGAGGTAAGCACTGACTCGGAACTTTTTTGCCAATACAGCAATCCGAATGATCTCGTATGTCTGAAGCACATTTCAGCAAAGACTTAGCATACTTGGTGCAATTTCCAACGTTCTGAGGAATCTATAAAATAACATACATTGTGGAGCATTAGTATGAAGAAACGGATACCGATCCTAATCCACATGCTTTCAAACAGTCTCCTTGGATCTGTTCTTCTTCGCAACAATTGAGAATGAACTTCGGGTCCACTGGTAGTGTATCTTTCGAAATGATGAGCTGGAAAAAGCTTTTGATAGATCGAAAGAATACTCAAACCTCTGCTTTATCCGATTTGGAGGTAGTTCCATTTCTAGAAGCAACGCAATGGTAAACACCTTCATTGCCCTTTGCATTCGGGATCTAGATGAGATTATTTCAAACAGCGAGAATAAACGTCACATACATGTAAAGTTGCTTTATAGGTGTTCATTTTAACCAACTTCACTCTAGTAGAGAACTTATGTACTTGTTTACCATCCTTCAGGAAACTGGAACAGCTCAGTTTGAGAAAGTTTCTGATTGTTGTAACTAACTATATGCTAGGAGTTGGAAATCCTTTCACGGTGCAAGATATGATGGCAGATTGGTCATCAAAGGCTCTTATTTTTTCCTTATCCATGAAAGCCACTGGGCCAACTGTAACATAGTCATCAGAACTCTTTCAAAGTACAGGTTCATACATTTAACAAGAATATGTTTCATGTTCACATTTTGACGTCCATCCACATCGGTTACGGCACAGGCAGCTGTATCGAGAGTCGAATCGGCTGTGACATTAAGAGAAACCCATAGAGCTCCAGGCTCATTTAATCCCTGGAAAAAAATTGGTATTCCCTTATTTGAAGTTAATTGTCTCACAGTATAGTTTCCTGCTGTCAAATCGATATGATAACTGGCATTCTTGTGAACACCGATGTTAACAGAGCAGTTGATGTTAATCCTATCTCCGGCAATATAAAAGCTGTCAGCGTGATCAGGATCAAATGTTAAATTGGGCTCAGGCAGTCCAAGAGAATCTAAACTTATTTTACACAACAGAAAATGTATGATGACACTACTGTGTTGAGCCAAAAGAGTTATAACGGAACTGCTTCTGCTACTCTTCTCGTTTTCTTGAGCAGTGACATAAACGGAATAAAGAGAGTCCTTTTTGAGATCAGAAATAACGCCCCATGAGTTATTCAATCTTATCTGAAGATTGTCAAGGTAAAACAATTTGTATGAATAAGATTAAAAACCGTTGTCCACTTCGCGCTGTTCTCGGAATCCACATAATACAGCAGATAATCAATGGGCCCAATCACATTCTCGTCATTACGCCTTTTTGTTACTGGGTTCCAAGAAATGTTAACGCGAGTGCCCTGGTTCCAAACAATGTGAAGGCCATCAGGTTGTTTAGGTCTATCTGCATCAGTACCTTAAAACGAGAAACCAAAAGATCAAACTATCATCAAGTTAAACTAAACCCTGAATAGGTAATGTTGTGAAAGTAACGTTCCACGACGGAGGTGATGATCCGACCTCATTATGCGCAATAACACGAACACTGTATTCTGTTTTTTGTTGAAGATTCTCCAAACGGATCACATCTTGTGTCGTATTGGTAGAGTTTGTAAGGGTATTATTATGATAGATCTGAAGTAGAATTTATAAATTGATATTTCTTCAGAAGAAAAACCTCGATAGAAAAGAACCGGACATCATCATCAAAATACTCATAGGATAGTGTTGCTGAATCGTGGTGGATCAGAGTTATTTCTAGGTTGTTAACGGCAGAAGGAGATCCTGAATGTTTACCAGCAAAACAGGCAGATAATTGAGGTACCGCGTTGAAGCACGCATCAGGAACCTAGAAAGTTTTGGTACTTGGAGGTAAAAGTGAATTTACCTGGAATGGATGACGACACCCGGTCAAACATTCTTTTGGGATTGAACGCTGTTCACAACAACGAGAATGATCAACACCCTCAGAAGCACATTGAACCCATTTGTTGAGATCACCTGAAATATTAAATATATTGACTCCCAATGATTGATCTTTGATTACCTTTGCAGGATTCAGGCAGAGTTGCATTAAAATGACAAGAAGACAAGCATGACTCTGAAACTCTTTGTTGTTGACAACATTCTTGGAAATCCACATCAGAATGATCATGATCTGTAATAAGCAATGTATCAAGGAAAAAGTTTGATACTTCTTACTAGATTGACAGCAATACATTCCTCCATCTCCACCTTCGGAGCAAGAATAACCAAACGGACACGGTCTTTCATCGCTACAGATGAAATGTCTACCTTCTAGAAATCATTAAACTTTCAAGGTAAGCATCTCGCTTCATACCAGACAATAGTAAAGGTTCACCCACTGGACATAAATAAAGAACTACAGGCTTAGTGATAAACACAATCGCTGTGGATGGCAAAGATTCCCCATTCATAGAGTTCGCCTGAACACTGACAGTATACTCACTGTCGGCGTCCAATCCCAGCTCTGTATGAGGAGAAACAGCATTGAAAACCTGAGGCAACTTTATGAAACAGAAGTTGATGATCGAAACATACTTGCCGGACAGGAGCTCCATGCTCGTTCTTTCTGATAAACAGAGTGAAGGTCTCCACGAGGTGGGAGTTCGCCTCTGGTTCTTCCCAATTAACAACCACACTAGATTCAGTGATCTCAGCTACAGACACATTAACTGGCGCAGATGGATGAGTTTCTGATAAAAAAAAATTGTATTTTGTTATTTAGTGATATATACCATATCCTTCCCTCATACAAGTATAAACTGTTTGCATATCAATGGTCAAACAAAGAACAGCTTTAGGTGATAACTCATCAGTAGACCCCGCACAAATAGGTAAACATTCGGCGGAAACTTTTTTACGTACACAGCATTCTGTGTGATTACGTTGATCAGCAATACATGGAGATACCTCAAAAATGGAAGTTACAAGAGCTCTGTTTCCTCTACTCAACCTTCGGCCATTCTGTTCGACAACTTGTTGCCAACGTGAAAGCATCTGAAGATGTCAGGCTGGAATCGACAACACACATTTTGTCGGCACATGTTTTAGTAACTCCGTTTTGTTTACAACAAGCTGTAACCACTAGCTCGATGAGAGATAAAGAAAGATTTCAAACCCATCGCGTCCGGCGCTGTTCCGTTATTTTTCAAAACAAAAACATTAGTAGATGCTATCGCTCTTGCACTGGGAACACTGTTTCCATAATCATTACGAGCAGTAACAAGAATCACGTATCGAGTGGCAGAACGGAGATTTGTCAAAGTCAAACATGTGTCAGAGGTATTGACCTGTAAAAAACAATAAAACAAAGTTTTCGAAAACAAAGTAATGCAGCTGTTCCGTGACGCCGAAAGCTATTTTTGACAGACTCCTATGCGGAAAACTCACGTGTTGGAAATTGAATTCACGCACTGCGCTTGTATGCGTTTCAGAATCATTAGTCATCAGAACGATCGTTGATCTCTCTTTTCGAATGGAGAATTCATGAGTTCCTCTTTTAACCCTCGTTAGAGGAGATTCCGATGATTCCTCATAATCACCTTCGTCGCCAGCATCTCCAATATCAATGTAGTCGCTACCCAATAGAGGAATCCCTCTGTAAAAAAATATTGTTCTAAGCTCCGATCTAAAGTTAAACTCACAGAGCACCCGTGAGAAAATTAAAGTTAGGAACTTCCTTAAAAGACACTGTGTAGCCTATGACGGGGAAGTTTTTATTTGAATCAAAAACAGGTGGTTTCTTCCAGCAAACTTGAAGTTTGTCATGTTCGACAGCATTCACCTGAATGCTTTCCGGTGCCTCAGGGAAAGGAACTAAAACATTTAATGAGATTCAGAGAATGAAAAATCTATTTTAAAAATTCAATTTTCAATCCCGTATCGGCTTTTCATTCAGGTTTCTATTTAATGTGGAATACGTGAGAAAGGGGAAAGAGGCTTGTAAGATTGTGCTTCGAGGCGGAAACATGCTATCACTATCCCATGCAGTTCTAAAATTTATTAAACGTAGATCACTATACATAGAAACAAAAACATTTGAACACGACCACATGCTATCTACTCTTGCTATATATGTACAGGCAAGGAACGTTAGGCAGAACGTTACCCGACACTCTAAAACTGTCGTGCATACAGACAAAGGAAAAAAATCATGCAAAGTAAGGAGAACAGAGGACTAGAAGATGGAAGTGAGACAGTCACTTCTTCTGGGAATGTCTGTTGTCAGATCTTCGGGAATAAAGCCGGGTATCTAAGGAATAAGCCGACACGGGAATGCTTGATAGCGAGGAATAGTGTTCGAGAGGAGGATTAAGCAACATACGATAAGCACGATTGTAGCACTCGAAAATTTCTGGGAGATAGTAGAGACATAGTCTATGTGAACGTCGAAGCATCTAAATATGGAAATAATATGCATCTTTAAATTTTTGACTTACCTTGAAATCCCCTGAGCAGAAATCATAACAAAACGATGGGACCAACTGAGTTTTGCAACAGTGTAAATGAGTTCTTGTACCATTCTCTGTAGCGCAATACAGGAAATTCTTATAATCATCAGTTTTACAACTGGAAAAAAGAATATAAATTCATTGAGAAAATAAGAAAAACCTGGTGGGATCGAAAGAATGCTCGTTCATTTCAGATGGCTTGCACATAGCTCGGCAAAGAGGAGAAATTCCTCGCTCCTGGCAACATTGGGAATGGTCATAACTGATGTTTTCATGGAACCCGCCACGCAGACCAGATTCTGAATGATATTAATCACTCAGAAGGAGAACAGAAAGACGGGCTTACCTATAATTTCAACTTGGAATTCAAGCAATTCCGATTCGTTAGCAATTTGGCAGCGATAACGTCCAGCGTCTTCGAAAGTAAGGTTCTTTAGTACCAGAGTAAACTCTTCTTTAGCGCAAGCACAACACTGGTTATCAACACAAGCAGATCCATCGGCACAAGGTGTGTTATCATTACAGGTGCCCGTGCAGGCTGAAATGAGAAAAAGTAAAAATAAAGACGAAGAGACGCAAACTTTTTTCATAATCAACGTCAATCCAATGCTGTAACTTGAAGGATCCTTCACGCGTTGTTTCAGAATCAACAAGTTGAGTTCCATTAAATATGAGAGTATCATCTTTATACCAAACAACCTAAAGAGAAAAAAAAAGATGTTGCAAATGCAAATTGACTCACGTTTGGTGAACATGTATTGAGAATGCATTGCAGTTGTGTAGCAAATCCTTGAATAACAGTTACGTAGCCTTCGTCATCTGTGGTCAAGTGCCGCTCTTCCTCAGCTAATCCCAAATGCTGGATTTGGAAGAGGAAAATACAGAGAAGAAGTTGAGTCCACTTCATCCCAACCACAAATGGGCAGGGTGACAAGGTCACAACGATCGATTTACCTGTGAAGGAAGACATGAAAACTGGTTAAGACCAGGAATCAAGTACGAACACGAGAGTATCGGAACTTATATAACAATTATAAAAGACATAAAAGAAAACTTCTGATAATGTAAGAAAAAAGAAGAAAATTGTGAGATTTTGAATGGCAAGGAATTGGAAACAAAACGTGAAAGGTTAAGGAGAACGGCTGTGTCACTTGGATGATTGGCGGGAGAAAAATAGAAAGAATGAAAAGCAGAGCAGACAATCAAGAGCTGGACGTGAAAAATGAAAACCATGGGAACTCCGAACAGGATCAAAGTTGAGAAAATGTTCAATGCAAAGGCCTTGATGGAAACGGACGAAATTAAAAAGTATGGAGAGAAGAACAGACACACATTTATTTGAAAAAGAGGATAGTCGACAGAGAAAAATAGTTGATTGTGACATTCAATATGTTGTAAGAGAGGAATTGAAGGACAACAGTTAAATGGAACGAAAAGAGATTAAATCAATCATTTGGCTCTCCAAGTAAAATCATTTTCATGGCGATTGTTCATGGACGAGTCCACCTTGTATAGAAACAAAAACAAATAAGATGATATGCCATTGAATTACACTGCATGAATATGAAAAAAGAAATAAAACAATCAGCTAATAGGCGTCTAGCTGCAAACAGCTGAATGGAAAAAGTGAAAAAAAGAAAGATGTATCCATGACAACGGTTCGGGCTATCAATCACATGTCATGATAAATCGGGCTCTCATAATCTTTCTACTCGTTATGAAGAATCCTTCTCTTCTGAGAACTGTTGCTCCGTGAAATTCTGCTGACTACGCATGTTTTCAACCAAATAGGGAAAAGTTTGAAGGCTGGAGTAGCAACCGGAATCAAAGTGACGTTTGAGCCGTCACTGGTCAATTTTTTTTGAAAAACAAGGAGTGTGATGGAGGACAAGGCTAGAGACGCAGGAAGAACAACTAAAGACATCAAATCTGGTGTAATCTGAGTCTCTTCTTCAAAAATATTTGAGGTTTCATGAAATTTACGAAACGCATATGAGACAGCTTCCGCAGAATTAGCAGGGTTTATTCAAGCGGCACTGGTAGGAAGTGAGTGATTGTAAAAAAAAGGCGGACAAGGAAGTTCAGAACAATAACGAATCAATAGAGACTGGATTTGACGCAAAACTGTAGGAACCAACTCAGACGACTGATCAATGAGCTGAATTAACGTACTTTGAGAAACAAATAACGGCACATGATATCAAACTTGCAAAAGTGCATAGAACAGCGGCATTGACAAAGTCTAAGAATACCTTCGAAAAGAGGGGAACGAAAAGTTTTTCGACAGAAAGTGTTAAGGTTTAAGACAAAAACGAGTAGAGATGAAAGTAAATACAACCGCTCGAGAGTTATGCTGAAAAGTAAAGTCATCGCCGAATATGCTCAAAAGATTACCTCTCGGAGAGAACGTGAAGGCACGTTATCAAAGGAATAATATTATGCAAAAGATATCGTTTGTTTTGGTTTCAGAAAGATACAAAGATTAGTTTATTTTCACACTTTCTTTTATCAATTACATTACTATTATACTATGTTAAAATAGAGATTTTATCAACTTTTGGAGAAATTCTGGAAGCTGTGGGTGACAAACAATTATTTTGCAAATAAATAAACAAACAAACTAACTTTTTCAACTTGGAAAAGAACTAGGCCATATGGGCAGAGAAGAAGAACATGATTATTTTGAAGAAAAAGAAGGAAATATAAGAGAAGGCAGAAAGAGAAGAGCTGAATGATGACAAATGACTTTAGTCCACATCATCGTGACCTTCCCAATATGCCAAACGTTGAGAAAGAAATTGAAATAAAGCTCTTATAGTTTAGCAAACGATTGATTTATAGGAATTTAGACGAAAATAAACACAAATATGAGTGAACAACAAAGTACGGAAACTAGTGGGAGAAAGCAAGACAGAAAATACGAAAAAACTGTGATTAAAACTCTCTTTCTCCAATTTTCGAGTCGAATATCCGGCCGCGATTTAAAGGAATGTGCTCTGACACAAGGATAATCAATTGTGCTCTGCTGCTAAAAAGAAAGTTTGTATATGTTTCTCGGCCAAAGATTTAACAGAGGATGGTCAAATGACAAATTCAATTATGGAAAATGACATATAATCGTACAATTCAAAATATATCAAGTACGGGAAGATATGACAAATATACGCAGATGAGTAAGATAGTGGCGGGAAGACGTTAATGATTAAGCAGCTGCTGATGGAAGAACAAGCAGAATGTGGAAGTTGAAATGAAGAGAAAATTAGCTTTTTTTTAATTTTGAAGAGACACAAGACGAGAGTGGGAGAAAGCCATGTAATTGTTATCGATTTTCCACCTTTTGAAAAAGAAATGAGATGAAAGAGAGAAAAGAAAGGATAAATCTGTGAAGTAAAGTGTTGTTGTTGTTGTTTTTGCTTGAAGGCTTGCTTCAATGATGACGAAGAAGAAGATGATGATGATTGTAGACCTCCGACGGACAAATTCTTTGAAGTATTTCCTTATATTGCAGTTCCTTTCCTGTTTCCAATTAATTTAACAATATTCTAATGGCAATACTAAAAGGACACAACACTTGATCATTTGGTTGGCAGAACATCCTATTTGGAGGACTCCTACGTAAGTGAGTTCATTTATAAAGCGATCACCCCTCGCTCATTTTTTCAGAAATATTTCAAGTTGCCATCTGTCTCCACTTTTGCAGTTCAAATCTGTATTCCTTGTGGCAGCAGTTAGGTGTTAGTTGAACGACTTACTACACATGTTCTTGGCTTTCTATAGACCTACCTGACGTCGTCGTCACACTCTTTCCTTTCAGATTCTCGATCGCTTCAGTTCAACTGGTTTTCCAGGCTGTATCGGCTTTCGATTTATTCTTTCATCTTCCCGATTAGTTCATAATCAGTCCAGATTTGCTACTAAGTCCATCGTTTGTATACAAAACGGTAACTTCTGTTTTGACATAAATCCTGTAGTCCATCCGATTAAGGCCAAGAACATTCATGTTTTGCCGTATTCCTTGAATGCTGGCTCGATGAATGAATAAGAAGAACCCGTGAGTGTTTAAGGAGTGTTACTCTTTTTTTTTGTTGGTGTGCTCCAACGGAAGGTTTTTGAGGCTTATCGCACGTAGCGCTTCTGTTTAGTTTTCCTTTTCCGCTTATGCAATAATTTCATTATTTCATTAATCGCTATATTTTTAACTCAATCTGGCAAAATGGCTGCTTCACTTGCTCTGAGCACATGTGTCTCCTGTGAGTGTTTGAGTGGGATGATGAAGAAGAATTTTTCTGACTGTGTGTATGTGTGTGTGTGTGTGTGTGTGTGTGTGTCAAGGATGACACGAAGCAACAATATTGTTGGTTCGAGAAACATCAGCTTCGAATACAAAGTTATTATTTTTTTCTCCAAGCTTAGAAACTTGACAAGTTTCTAGTTAGATCTACAGGTGACATCTTGAGTCAACAGGCTGTTGCTCATGTTTTGTGCAATCCCTCGATTGTTTATTGACTTGCTCTTCCTGGCTTACCTATTTATTTATTTCATTGTTTTTAATTCTATATATTTCAATTATTTCATCTGTAAGATCCTCTAAATCAGTTTTTTTGCTGTTTATTCATTAAAATTAAAATTTTTTCTTTTCTGATTAATGTGATGGTGAGTCAGCTTCAAGGAATGTGAGCGATTTTTGTTTTCAAAAATCAGCTGTTAGAAAACCTGGAGGAAGTTTGATTTAAAAGTTTTTTTTTCTCAAGGAATTGTCGGAAATTCGTCATTTTCTCAAATCCTCAATCCTTATTGCTCAATTCTTGTCCGTTATTGGCAAATGTTTAATGTAGTTCTTCAACAAATATTTTGATTTTTCTTATAAATTGAAAGAAAAGGAAAACTAGACATTACTGAATAAACAGATTGTGTTGCTTATTTCAAAGTTGAAAACAGTTACTTCTTTTAAAGTTTTTTCATTCGCATCCTCTAATCCTAATCCTCATCATTACAATTCGCTCCGTGAAACTTTAATGATTTGATTTCAACATAATCATTCTACTAGATTATGCCTTTGCAACCAGATGTTTGCATGTTTAATGACTTTTGATTTAACTCCTTATAGGCATTGAGGTTTTTACACAAAAATGTCATCATTTGTACTGAACGGTATTTAGGTTATTCAAACGTCCTCAACTACATTGTATTTGCTTTTACGGTCATTCAACATGATTCTCTTTGATTTTTCTCACAAAGTCAGATACATAGTTCAAATCAAATCAATAGCAGATTTATGTTTTTTTTTTGGAAAACAAATAAGATCATTTTTGGAGCTTATTATCGCCTGTACACACAAATTATTATTATTTGTTATTCTCACTATATTAAATGGTCTTTAATGATCAATAAACCATCCGTTAATCAAGAAAGTGTCCTATAAGAGATTTATTTCTTAAAAGAAGTAATTCTCTTTCGAAACATCATCGAATACTCTACTGAATAGACCTCTAATTGATGTGAATTGCCGACTTTTCATTTACAACCTGGGATGTTTAATGAGAAGCCAGAGACATTTGGAAAAAAAAATTCTCTGAATCCTTTTCTATTCTCCGTTCCAAAGTATAAATTCTTTCCAAAAAAAGAAAGGCAAATTATATGTCAAGAAAAGTTAAAAATACCATTGAATAGAGAACCGGTTGGTCCCCTCCCCGAGTTATTGAATGATTCGGACACGGATAACGTCATTTTAAACAATTTTTAAATTTTCAAAAGTTAAATAAAAATATTTTTGATTAAAAATATCTTACAAATGACATCATTCGTCAACTTCTTGAGGCTTATAAGGGAAATTTTCCTTACTGCATGGGCTATTTTCTTCGTTCGGTTTCATTGATGCCTCCCGATCCGCACAATTCATTTTTCATT